GCACGTGCTGTTCGAGCATGCGGCCGGGTACGCGCTGTTCGCCGTGCGCGAGGTGGAGGAGATCGGCCTGCTGCTGCCGCAGGTACCGCACCGGGAGCGGGAACGGGAGGAACGGGAGCCGGGCCGGGGAGGGAGGCCGGGAACGGGAGGAGCGGGGAGCGGGGCCGGGAACGGGAGGAGCGGGGAGCGGGGCCGGGAGCGGGGAGCTGGGAGGGGCGGGCAGCAGGGGACGCACCGGGGATGGAGGAAGGTGGAAGGGCCGGGTTGGGAGCCGGCGGGGGGTGGCGCTGGCACGGCCGGGGCCGCTCCGGTGCCCGGGGTGAGCGCAGCCGCCGGTGCCCCGCAGGTGGAGGAGAGCGTCCTCACGCTGGGCAAGTTCCACAACGTGGTGAAGCTCGTGGCGTTCTCGCCGTTCCGCTCGGCGCAGAGCGCGCTGGAGAACATGAACGCCGTGTCCGAGGGTGAGCGCGGGGCCGGGCGCCGCGGGGCCGGGCACGCCGGGAGCCCCGGGGCGCGCTGAGCCCCCGTGTCCCGCAGGGGTGCTGCACGAGGACCTGCGGCTGCTGCTGGACACGGCGCTGCCCCCCAAGAGGAAGAAGGTGCTGCTGGGGGTGGGCGATGCCAAGATGGGCGCGGCCGTGCTGGAGGAGCTGGGCGTGCAGTGCCAGACCGGCGGCGTCGTGGCCGAGCTCATGCGAGGTGAGAGGGGACAGCGGGGACATCCCGGGGGGCTCCTGCTTCAGTCGGGATGCACCTGGGAGGGGCGAGGAGCGGGGGGCGTGGGGCCGGTGCCCTGCGGTGTCCCCGGGGCCGCGCGCGGTGGCAGCTCGGTGTCCCCCGTGGTGACGCCGTGGCCCCGCAGGGATCCGGCTGCACTTCCCGGCGCTGGTGCGGGGCCTCACGGCGCAGTCGGCGGCCAAGGCCCAGCTGGGGCTCGGCCACAGCTACTCCCGGGCCAAGGTGAAGTTCAACGTGCACCGCGTGGACAACATGATCATCCAGTCCATCAGCCTGCTGGACCAGCTGGACAAGGACATCAACACCTTCTCCATGCGCGTCCGGTCAGTGGGGACGGGTTTTGGGGGGTTTAAAGGGGCTTTGGGGGTTCCCCTCCCTCCCCATGCTTACCACAGGCGGCTGCTGCTGCTCCGGCCGCCTGTACAGACCGGGGAGGGACAGCAGCTCCCAGGGGCCACTGGCCGGGCCGCAGGGCCACGGCGTGGACCAGGGGGACATTTGGGGACACACAGAGACACACAGGGCTGGGGCGGGGCCCAGTGGCACCACTGACCGTGCCCTGTCCCCGCAGAGAGTGGTATGGGTATCACTTCCCCGGGGCCCAGTGGCACCACTGACCGTGCCCTGTCCCCGCAGGGAGTGGTACGGGTACCACTTCCCTGAGCTGATCAAGATCGTGCCCGAGAACTCCATGTACTGCCGGGTGGCCAAATTCATCGGGAACCGGCGGGAGCTGAGCGAGGAGAGCCTGGAGGGGCTGGAGGAGATCGTCATGGACAGCGCCAAGGCCCAGGCCATCCTGGAGGCCTCGCGCTCCTCCATGGGTGAGGGGGGCTCCGAGGGGCTCGGGGGGGCCCGGCCTGGTGCCCAGTGCTGCCGCTCACCCCGTGCCGCCCCCAGGGATGGACATCTCCCCCCTGGACCTCATCAACATCGAGAGCTTCTCGCGCCGCGTCATCTCGCTGGCCGACTACCGCAAGGGGCTGCAGGAGTACCTGCGCTCCAAGATGAGCCAGGTGGCCCCCAGCCTGTCAGCCCTCATCGGGGAGGTGGTGAGTGTCCCCAGAGCCCCCCGTCCCCTCCCCAGCCGCGGAGATGATGTCAGAGTGAATCTGTCAATCCACTGAGTTGTGCTGCTGACGCTTCCACTGCTGATCCCCGGCCCGTGGGGACTCTCTGTGCCCTGGGGGGCTTCAGAGCCACCCGTGACCCCCCGTGCTGTCCCCCAGGTGGGCGCCCGCCTCATCTCGCACGCCGGCAGCCTGACCAACCTGGCCAAGTACCCGGCGTCGACGGTGCAGATCCTGGGGGCAGAGAAGGCGCTGTTCAGGTACCCGGGCGGTCGCGGTGATGGCGGCCATGGGGATGCGGCTGTGACTCGCTGGGCTGATCAGCCCGCCCCGGTCTGAGCGACCCCCGGAGCACAGCGGGCTGGGGAGGGGTGTCCGAGGGTGGGGGTGGCTGTTCGGGGGTCCTGACCCCACGCTGGGCACTCGCAGGGCGCTGAAGACGCGGGGGAACACGCCCAAGTACGGGCTCATCTTCCACTCCACCTTCATCGGGCGCGCGGCCGCCAAGAACAAGGGGCGGATCTCGCGCTACCTGGCCAACAAGTGCACCATTGCCTCGCGCATCGACTGCTTCTCAGGTGGGCACGGGGCTCAGGGGGCACACACGGGCTGGGCACTGTCGCTCGGTGCCCAGGTGGGCACGGGGAGGGCACTCAGGGGGATTCAGGGCCGCTCTGCCGTGATGGGAACATTTTTCGTCAACAGCATCTCACCCCGCGGTGAATGGTGACTCCTGTGGGCTGAGCAGAGCTCGGGGGGCACCGGGGGGGTTTGGGGGTGCAGGAGCAGTGCTGAGCCCCCCTGTCCCCTCCCCGCAGAGGTTCGTGATGGGAACATTTTTCGTCAACAGCATCTCACCCCGCGGTGAATGGTGACTCCTGTGGGCTGAGCAGAGCTCGGGGGGCACCGGGGGGTTTGGGGGTGCAGGGGCAGTGCTGAGCCCCCCCGTCCCCTCCCCACAGAGGTCCCCACCAGTGTCTTTGGGGACAAGCTGCGGGAGCAGGTGGAGGAGCGCCTGGCCTTCTACGAGACCGGGGAGCCGCCCCGCAAGAACCTGGAGGTGATGAAGGAGGCCGTGGTGGAGGTGAGGAGGAGGAGGGGATGCTGAGGGAGGGGGAAGAGTGGTGAGGGTGACAAATGGAGGCTGTGGGAGAGATGGAGGGGAGGAGGAGGTGAGATCTTGGGAGGGATGAAGATGGTGGTGAGGTGCCAGGGGAATGAAGATGGAGGTGAGCTGCTGAGACGAAAAGGATGGAAATGTTGGGGTGATGAAGATGATGGAGGTGAGGTCCTGGGGGACATGAAGATGGCTGTAGTGAGGTACCAGAGGATGGAGATTGTGAATGGCAGGTGTGGGGGCAATGGAGGTGTTGGGATGGTGGAGGATGGTGGTGAGGTGATGAAGATGATGCTGAGGTGCTGGGGGGGATGAAGGTGAGGTCATGTGGTGATGCTGAGGTGCTGGGGGGGATGAAGGTGAGGGCCTGTGGTGCTGAGGGTGATGCTGAGGTGCTGGGGTGATGAGGATGATGCTGAGGTGCTGGGGGATGAAGGTGAGGTCATGTGATGATGAGGGTGATGCTGGGAGGATGAAGGTGAGGTCCTGTGGTGATGAGGGTGATGCTGAGGGGCTGGGGGATGAAGGTCAGGGCCCGTGTCGGAGGTGATGTCACTGTGCCATCCTGACCCGCTGTGGAGGCCAAAGACTGATTTAATGAGTCTGATCCGACCAGGGCCAGGTGTGGGGACAAACCTGGGACCCTGCCCTGGCTCACGGCCCCCCTGTGTCCCCAGGCCAGCGAGGTGGTGGCTGAGGTGAAGAGGAGGCAGGAGAAGAAGGAGAAGAAGAGGAAGAAGAGGGAGAAGCGGCGGCTGGAGGCCCTGGCAGCAGCTGCTGAGGAGGCAGCAGAGAACTCTGTGATGGAGACAGAGGTGAGGGGCTGGGGTCAGACCCTTCTGGGGGGTCCTGGAAGCTCCTGATGCACCTTGGGGGGCTGTGAGGGGTCTCTGTGCCCCGTGAGGGGAGGGAGGATGGGGGCAGAGCTGATGTGGGACTCCCCACAGGAGAACGACGTGGGGGCCAAGAAGAAGAAGAAAAAGAAGAAGCAGCAGCAGCCAGAGGAGTCAGAGGCAGAGCCTGAGGAGAACGGGGTGGAGGAGGAGGAAGAGGAGGAGCCATTGCCCAAGAAGAAAAGGAAAGTCACGGTAGATCCTGAGGAGGAAGAGGAGGAGGAGGAGGAGGAGAAGAAGAAGAAAAAGAAGAAGAAGAAGAAGGCAGTGGCTCGGGACTCGGAGGAGGATTAGGGAGCAGAGAGCAGTCAGCACACGGACTGACAGACTGACGGACAGGCAGCAGCCGGGACTGGCCACTCACCCAAGCCCGTGGTGTCCCCAGCTGTGCCCTGTGGCACCGTGGCCACTTGGAACATGCCACAGCCCCTGGTGGCCTGGGTGAGTCCCTCTGGCCACCAGCAGCCCTGGACTGTGCCTTACAGAGTGGAACTTCAGCCCCCTGTCCCCTTCCCTGGGGCAGGGGCTGTCCCCAGGCTGTGTCCCCGTCCTTGGGGACCTTGGGCTGGCTGTGAGGGGCTGTGTCCCCTGTGCCTGTGCAGGCCAGGCCCCGTTCGTGGTGCCCAAACCCCAATAAAGGGCTGAGGTCGTTGCTGATCCCTCCTGTCCTGCTCCTGGCAGGGGCTGCCCAGGCTGTCCCCACGGGGGGCACCCTGTCACCAGCAGCCTGCCCGGGCCCAGGGACACCACAGCAGCACGGTCACACCTAAGGCCACTTTATTGGAGTCACAGGGGCAGGGCTGAGGTCACTGCACCTCCAGGGCATCTATCACAGCCTGGGTGAAGTCCATGGAGGTGGAGTAGCCCCCCATGTCCGCCGTGCGCACCTGCAAGGAGACGGGAGGTTAGGGGGCACCAGCAGGGACCTGCACACGCGGGGTCCCCCCGGCCCCAGGCGGGGCTGGGGCACTGGGGCTGGGCTCCCTGGAGCCCCTGCACCCCCCACAACTGTCCCTGTGCCTTGGGGACACACAGAGGGGCTGGTGACTGCTCTGCCCCACACGGCTCAGGGGCACCCCAAACTCCAGTTCAGGCTCTGGTTCCAGCATTGCCCCCCCAGCTCAGCAGCCCCAGCACCCCAAAAGCTGCCCCGGGTGCCCCCAGGCAGGGCAGGGCAGGAGGGAAGCGTTGGACCCTTTATTAGCAAAGCAGAGTACAGAGCATCACACAATGGCACAGCCCGGGCTGGCACCAGGCCTGGCACCGCGGGCACAGCAGTTACGGGATCGACTCCCAGCTCAGCCCTGCAGCTCCCCAATTCCCACGGGCTGGGGGGCACAGGGTGCACCCCACACCCTGCCCCAGGTTTGGAGTGTTCCAGGGTCACCCCACGCGTGGGGACCCTGTGCCAGCAGCTGCCACGGGGGTGGAGGGTGGGGGACGTCACCCTGGTTATTGCTGAAAGCTGCATGGGATGGGTCCCATGGGAATGGGGTCACAGGGATCCCACAGTCACACTGGTCCCATATTTGTGAGGATCCCATGGGAATGGGGGTCCCACAAGAATCCCACACTGCTCCAGCAGTCACAGGGATCCCGTGGGAATGGGGTTTCCACAGTCTGAGGTCCTGCTTTCACAGGGACCCCACAAAATCCCACCGGTCCAACAGGCAGAATGACCCCATAGGAATGGGGATCCCAAAGTCACAGGGATCCCATAGGAATGGGGTCCCACAGTCCAAGGTCCTGTTCTCACAGGGATCCAAGAATCCCACTGGTCCCACAGGAATGACAATCCAATAATGGCATGCCATGGGAATGGGGGTTCCAGAGCCATGCTGGGTGGTCCCAATGTCCCTAGGAGCTGCCTATGATTTAGGGGCGCTGCCCCATCCCCCAAAACCACCCAGCACACCCCGAAATCCACACTGGCCGCCTGCTGTGGGGGATGGGGGAGGGTAAAGCGTTCCTGGGGGTCCCGGGCCTCCCTCCTCCCTGGGGGGCTGGGAGGGGGCTGGGGAGGGGGCCGAGGCGCGGGGGCTGCCGGGGGTCCTAAGCCCCATAGTTGGGGTGCAGGTTGTCAATGACGGACTTGACGAAGTCGGAGGTGGTGGAGTAACCGCCCAGGTCCCGGGTCCGGACCTGCAAATCCAACACAGGGGGGGAGAAACGGGAAGGAGGCGCTGGTGAACGCAGAGAACGGCTGCCACAGGGACAGGGACAGGGACAGGACAGCAGAGAGGGACAGCGGGGACCCGCAGCCCTGCCAGGACCTGGGGTGGGAATGGGGATATGGAACATCCCTGAGAGCCCTGCCAGGACCTGGGGTGGGAGCGGGGCTCTGGAACATCCCTGAGAGCCCTGCCAGGACCTGGGGTGGGAATGGGGATATGGAACATCCCTGAGAGCCCTGCCAGGACCTGGGGTGGGAGCGGGGCTCGGAGGATCGCCCAGCCCTGCCAAGAGTCCCTCCCTCATGAGCACAGGGGCTGGACACAGCTGTGGGCCTGGGATTGTAGCTGCAGAGAGGAGAGGAGCCAGAATTCCAGATAGAAAGAGAAGAAGAACCAGAATTCCAGCTGGAAAGAGGAGAAGAACCAAGAATTCCAGATAGAAAGAGGAGGAGAACCAGAATTCCAGCTGGGAAGAAGAGAGCAGAGACCGTGACCCAGGCACCACCAGCCCAACCCCCCGTCCCACACTCACTTTGCCACCTTTGATCACCTTCTTCACCGCGTCCGAGACCATGTTGGAGTGGTATTCCAGGCTGGAAAGGAGGGGGAGACGGGGGGTCAGCCCCTCAGAATCCCCCCAAACCCCCCTTGAGAGCCCAGCACGTACTTGAGGTGCCGCAGCATGTTGGAGGCCGAGAGCAGCATGGCCGTGGGGTTGGCGATGTTCCTGCCCACGGCCTGGGCGAAGGGGTGCCGGGCTCCCTGTGGGACACGGGGCACGGTGCCAGGGCCATCCCAGCCTGCCAGCCTTGGGAATGCCCTGGGATGGCCCTGGCACGTCTCCTCACCAGCTCGAACACGGCGTACTCGGCGCTGTAGCTCTCGCCGGGCACGACGCCCGCGCCGCCCACCAGCCCCGCGGCCAGGTTGTCCACGATGTTCCCGTAGAGGTTGGGCATCACCAGCACGTCAAACTGGTAGGGATTCTGCACCAGCTGGGATGGGATGGGAGTGGGAATGGGGCAGTGAGGCCTGCAACAGCTGGGGGGAAGCTCAGCCCCACCCCGGGACAGGGGGCAGAGCCCAGCTGAGTGGGGATGGATGGGGATGGATGAGCTCTGAGGTGTGGGGATGGATGGATGAGCTCCCAGGTGTGGCAGGGATGGATGGGTGAGCTCCCAGGTGTGGCAGGGATGGATGGGTGAGCTCCCAGGTGTGGCAGGGATGGATGGGTGAGCTCCCAGGTGTGGCAGGGATGGATGGGTGAGCTCCCAGGTGTGGCAGGGATGGATGGGTGAGCTCCCAGGTGTGGCAGGGATGGATGGGTGAGCTCCCAGGTGTGGCAGGGATGGATGGGTGAGCTCCCAGGTGTGGCAGGGATGGATGGGTGAGCTCCCAGGTGTGGCAGGGATGGATGGGTGAGCTCCCAGGTGTGGCAGGGATGGATGGGTGAGCTCCCAGGTGTGGCAGGGATGGATGGGGATGGATAAGTGCCCAGGTGTGGGGATGGATGGATGAGCTCCAGGTGTGGGATGGATGGATGAGCTCCCAGGTGTTTCCAACCCAGATCATTCCATGCTTGGCACAGCTGCCTGGAGCAGCACTGATGGGACTGGGGGAGTTTTTAGGGAAATTATTGGGGATATAAAGGGGAATTTTTAGGGACAGAAACACACCCAGCCCCAGTGAGGCTGCAGGAACCCAGGTCCCCAAATTCCCCCCAGGAGCAGCACTGGGATGGTCCCAGAGCCACAGGCTGGGCATGGCCAGGTGGGACAGGGCTGGGAATGCTGGGAATGTTGGGAATGCTGGGGGGCTCCTGCCTGACACGGGGACAACCCTGGGGCCAGGTGGGCTCGGTGTGCCCAGGCTTGGAGGTTCCAGCTCCTCAAGGGGAGGTTGGGAAGGGACCAGGGACAGGGACAAGGGATGGGGACACACTCAGGGGCGTGGCCGGCCAGGGGCGTGGCCGGGGGGGCATGGCTCACCTGCATGCAGCAGTTGTCGATGATCATGGTGTCGAATTTGATCTTGGGGTACAGCTCAGCCACCTCCTTACAGCACTGCAGGAACAGCCCATCCCCCAGCTTCCTGCACAGGGAACACCAGGAAGGGTTGGGGCAAATCCCAAAGGCTGCAGGATCCAGCAGGAATTGGGGTCTGTGACACCCTTTGGGCTCCTCGTGCTGCTTTTCCCCCCTCCCTGATGGGAAGGGGATTTGTCCCAGGTGGGAGGTGCAGGAGGAGCTGTCCAGGTGCTCCCATCAATGATTCCAGAGCTTGGGATTCTGCAGGAATGACCCCAAAGCAGTGATCCCACAATGCATGGGGACAGGGATGTGGAGATGCTGCCCAGGGAATACCTGGACACTGATTTATCAATAAATCACATCAGCAGCAGCTGCAGGTCAGTGTCCTGCTCACTCCTGCCTGGGAGCAGAGCGAGGGAAAAGCCCCAGGGAAATCCTGATCTCCCTCACTCCAATCCCAGTGTCCAACCTGGCCTGGGGCACTGCCAGGGATCCAGGGGCAGCCACTGGAAATCTGGGAATTCCAGCCCAGCCCCTGCCCACCCTCCCAGCCAGCAATTCCTTGCCCAGATCCCAGCCCAATCTCCCCTTGGCCAGTGGCAGCCATTCCCTGTGTCCTGTCCCTCTGTCCCTTGTCCCCAGTCCCTCTGCAGCTCTCCTGGAGCCCCTGCAGGGACTCTGAGCATTCCCTGGAATTTTCCCTGCTCCAGGGGAACATTCCCAGCTCTCCTGGAGCAGAGATGCTCCAGAATCCTGGAATGGTTTGGGTGGAGAGGGACCTTGAAGTTCACTGAATCCACGGGCAGGGACACCTCCCACCATCCCAGGCTGCTCCAGCCTGGCCTTGGGCACTGCCAGGGACCCAGGGGCAGCCCCAGCTGCTCTGGGAATCCCAGCCCAGCCAGGAATTCCCTCCCAAGACCCCACCCCAACCTCAATTATTCCACTTTGAAGCCCTTCCCCCCTCTGCTGCCAGCCCAGGTCCCTCCCAGGTGTCCTGGAGCCCCGGCAGGTCGCACTGAGGTCCCAGGGTGACCAGGATGACAGTGTCACTCACATGATGTTGGCCTTGTGCACAGCTGTGACCTTGGCCCGGCCCTTCTTGGTGGCGTAGTCGAAGGCGAACTTGGCGATGCGCTGGGACTTGGCCCTGGTGATGATCTTCAGGCACTCGATCACCCCCTTGGCACTCTGGGGGCACAGCGGGTCACAGCCTGCCAGGGCCACACACCCCGACACCTGTCCTGCCCTGCCTCGCTTCCCTGCCCTGGCACTGCCTTTATTCATTCATTTATTTATTTATTTACTTATTTATTTATTTATTTATTATTATTATTATTATTATTATTATTATTATTATTATTTTAGTATTTCTATTATCATTATCATCATTATCATCATCATTATTATTATCATTATCATTATTATCATTATCATTTATTATTATTATTATTATTATCGTCATCATCATCATCATTATCCCTATTATCATTATTACCATTATTATTTATTATGATTATATTATTATTACTACTATTATTACGATTATTACTATTATTACCTTCCCTTCCTTCTCCTTATCATCACAATTATTACAACTATTATTATTACTACTATTATTACAATTATTACTATTATTATCTTCCCTTCCCTCTCCTTATCATCACAATTATTACAACTATTATTATTACTACCATTATCATTAGTTATTACTATTCACCACATTTATTATGTGTTACATGTATTATTATCTCTATTATTCTTACACGTATTTATATTCATTATTAATTCTTATCGTGATTTTTTAAATCAAGTATTTCTTATCATGAAAATTTTGTTCCAATTACTATATATTTTTGTTATCATAATTTTTTCAATTATTAAATTGTTCTCATCATCATAATTTTGTTTCAATTATTGTATTGTTCTAATCATCATCATCTTTTTTTTTCAATTATTGAATTGTTCTAATCATCATCATCATCATGTTCTTTCAATTAATGAATTGTTCTAATCATCATCATCTTTTTTTTTCAATTATTGAATTTTTCTAATCGTCACCACTTTGTTTCAATTGTTGAACTGTTATCATCATCATCATCTTCATTTTGATTCAATTACTGCATTGTTCTCATAATTTTGTTTCAGTTATTGCACTGTTCTCATCATCATAATTTGTTTCAATTACTGAATTTTTTTAATAAACATCACCATTTTGTTTCAATTACTGCATTGTTCTCATCATAATTTTGTTTCAATTATTGCATTGTTCTCATAATTTCATTTCAATTACTGCATTGTTCTCATAATTTCGTTTCAATTATTGCATTGTTCTCATCATCACTTTGTTTCAGTTATTGAATTGTTTAATCATCCTCACCATTTGGTTTCAATCATTAATTTGCCCCAGTCTCAGCCCAGGTTAATTCTTATCATGATTTTTTAAATCAAGTATTTCTTATCGTGAAAATTTTGTTCCAATTACTATATATTTTTATTATCATAATTTTTTCAATTATTAAATTGTTCTCATCATCATAATTTTGTTTCAATTATTGCATTGTTCTCATAATTTCATTTCAATTACTGCATTGTTCTCATAATTTCGTTTCAATTATTGCATTGTTCTCATCATCACTTTGTTTCAGTTATTGATTTTTTTTAATCATCATCACCATTTTGTTTCAGTTATTGCACTGTTCTCATCATCACTTTGTTTCAGTTACTGATTTTTTTTAATCATCACTTTGTTTCAGTTATTGAATTGTTTTAATCATCCTCACCATTTTGTTTGTTATTGCATTGTTCTCATCATCACCATTTTGTTTCAGTTATTGAATTGTTTAATCATCCTCACCATTTGGTTTCAATCATTAATTTGCCCCAGTCTCAGCCCAGGTTTGCCTTTCTGTCCAGCTCTCCTCCCCACTGGTGTCTCCATCCTGGCCAGGGCTAACCCAGGACAATCCCTGTGCCACTGTCCCTTTGCCAGGCATTGCCCCCTGCAGCCACCCCATTCCTCACCGGGGCTGGGTGTGCTCCTATCCCAAAATATTCCCTAATTCCCCTGCTCCAGGCAGGTCCTGAGTGTGCTGAGCAGGGAATCAGGGAATGGGGTGGGCTGGAGAGACCTTGGAGCTCATCCCATCCCAGCCAGGGACAGCTCCCACTGCCCCAGGTGGATCCAAATCCACCCAGCCTGGCCTTGGGCACTGCCAGGGATCCAGGGATTCTCTGGGAATTCCAGCCCAGCCCCTGCCCACCCTCCCAGCCAGCAATTCCTTGCCCAGATCCCAGCCCAATCTCCCCTTGGCCAGTGGCAGCCATTCCCTGTGTCCTGTCCCTCTGTCCCTTGTCCCCAGTCCCTCTGCAGCTCTCCTGGAGCCCCTGCAGGGACTCTGAGCATTCCCTGGAATTTTCCCTGCTCCAGAGGAACATTCCCAGCTCTCTCAGAGCAGAAGAGCTCCAAAATCCTGGAATGGTTTGAGCTGGAAAAGACCTTAAATCCCATCCATTCCCACCCCATCCATGGACAGGGACACCTCTCCTAGCCCAGGTGGATCCAGCCTGACCTTGGACACTTCCCAGGATCCAGGGCCAGCCACAGCTGCTCTGGGAATTCCAGCCCAGCCAGGAATTCCTTGCCAAGCTCCCATCCCAATCTCCCCTTTCCCAGTGGGAGCCATTCCCTGTGTCCTGTCCCTGCAGGCCTTGTCTGCTATTTTTACAATCCCTGATCCCTCTCCCTACATTCCAACCATTCCTTTTTCTCCATTTTTCCATTTCCCCCCCTTTCTCCCCGCTTTCTCCCCCAGGCTCCGGGGGTCCCCGAGCTGTCCCCTGGCAGTGGCAGCTGTCCCACCTCGTGCTCCAGGGAGCTGTACTCGCCCTCGGTCTGCTCCCGGATGATCACCAGGTCCAGGTTGTTGTGCCGGGTCTGGTAGCCCGGGAGGCTCTTCACGTGCACCACGTTGGCAAACAGGTCCAGCTTCCTCCTGGGGACAGGGACACGCGGCTGCTCGGGGGCCACCCTGTCCCCTCTGGGCGCTGGGGACACCCCCAGGGACAGCTCCTGCCAGCGATGGCCCCTCGGGAATTTTCCTTCCCAATAACTCATTCATTATTAATTAATGGATTTTTCCCCAGTGATTGTCCCCTCCAAATCCCAGGGGACATTCCCAATAACTCATTCATTATTAATTAATGGATTTTTCCCCAGTGACTGTCCCCTCCAAATCCCAGGGGACACTCCCAATAACTCACTAATTATTAATGATGGGGATTTCCCAGTGATGAGTTCTGGGATTGACTCCACCATCTCCAGAACTGCCAGGCAAGAAGGAACAGTCAAAAAGAGCAGCTCCAGGCTATGGAGTTTTGCCTCCTAATAACTCATCAATTAATAATTAGTGGATTTTCCCCCAGTGACTGTCCCCAGCAATTCTCCCAATAACTCACTAATTATTAATGATGGGGATTTCCCAGTGATGAGTTCTGGGATTGACTCCACCATCTCCAGAATTGCCAGGGAAGCAGGATCAGTCAGCAGGGGCAGCTCCAGACCACAGAGTTTTGCCTCCCAATAACTCATTAATTATTAATTAATGGATTTTTTCCCTGTGACTGTCCCCTGCAAGTCCCAGGGGACACAGCTGGGTCACCCCCTCTGCAGGACCCCAGGGTGAGCAGGGACAGCTCCTGCCAGGGATGGTTCCTCGGGAATTTTCCTTCCCAATAACTCATTAATTAATAATTAATGGAGTTAGCAGTGAGGAATTCTGGGATCCACCCCACCACCTCCAGAACTTCCAGGGAAGAAGGATGAGTCAACAGGGACAGCTCCAGGCTATGGAGTTTTTCCTCCCAATAATTCATTAATAAATAATTAGCGGATTTCTTCCCAGTGACAGCTCTTGGCCATGGATGGTTCCTCAGGAATTCTGCTTCCCAATAACTCATTAATTATTAATTAACGGGGTTTTCCCAGTGAGGAGTTCTGGGATCCACCCCATGATTTCCAGAACTTCCATGGAAGCAGGATCAGTCAGCGGGGCAGCTCCAGACCACAGAGTTTTACCTCCCAATAACTCATTAATTAATAATTAATGTTTTCCTCCCCAGTCACTGTCCCCTGCACGTCCCAGGGGACACAGCCGGGTCACCCCCTCTGCAGGACCCCTCAGGGTGCCACCGAAGGTTTTGTTTCCCAGCCCCCACAGAATCCCTCAGCCTTCTCCTCTCCCCCACAACTCATTAATGACTAATTAACTAAGCCCCTCACCTGAGCCTCATGTCATAGGACGCCAGGTCTCCCTTGTACTCCATGGGCGTGTGGATCTTCCCTGCACGACACGGGGGAATGGTCACGGAGTGCCACAGAGCCTGCCCTGGCACAGCGAGGGGCCAGCGCTGCCTGGGGACAGGAGGGGACAGGGAGGGGACAGGGAGGGGACAGGGAGGGGACGGGGACAGGGACGGGGACAGGGAGGGGACAGGGCTCACCAATGAGGGCCACCTTGCTCTCCTTCATGGAGTCCACCACCCGGTCCAGCTTCTCCTCGGACGCCGTGTTCTGCACCTCGCTCAGGTGGTGCTCGTCGAAGATCACGGGGACATTGCCAGCCTGGGACGGGGACAGGGCCACCCAGGGTCACCCAGGGTCACCTCGTGGGGACACGGAGCCCTGGGCCAGCCGTGCTCAGGGACAGGAGGGAGCTGGCATCACCTCAGTGCCACTGATGGAGCCACGGGGTGTTTCCCTTGGGAAAGCCTCTGAGGCGCCCCCAGCACTGCCAAGGCCACCCCCTGGGATGTCCCCAAGTGTCACATCCACAGGGCTGGTAAATCCCTCCAGGGATGGGGATTCTCCTTCGGGAGCCATTTTTTGGAGGAATTTTCCCAGTATCCCAAATTATCCCCAGTCCAATTATCCCAATATCCCAAATCCCCCCAGGAATGGGGACACACCCTCTGCCCGTGGGCAGCACTGGTGGGGACAGAGGGCACAGGGACACGCAGGGACACTCAGGGACATGCAGGGACATTTAGGGACACTGAGGGACACACAGGGACATGGAGGGACACTCAGGAACATGCAGGGACATTTAGGGACACTGAGGGACACACAGGGACACTCAGGGACATGCAGGGACATGGAGGGACACGCAGGAACATTTAGGGACACTCAGGGACACTTGGGGACATTTAAGGACACTTAGGGACACTCAGGGACATGCAGGGACATTTAGGGATGTTCAGGGACACACAGGGACACTAGGTGACACACAGGGACGGGCAGGGACATGCAGGAACACACAGGGACATTTAGGGACACTCAGGGACACTTAGGGACATTTAGGGATGCTTAGGGACACTCAGGGACATGCAGAGATACTCAGGAACACTCAGGGACATTTAGGGATGCTTAGGGACACTCAGGGACAAGCAAGGGCACACAGCAACACTTAGGGACACTCAGTGACAGGCAGGGACACACAGGGACATACAGGGACATTCAGAGACACCCAGGGACACTAAGTGACACACAGGGACACTCAGTGACACTCAGGGCCACTAGGAACACTCAGGGACATTTAGGGATGCTTAGGGACACTCAGGGACAAGCAAGGGCACACAGCAACACTTAGGGACACTCAGTGACACACAGGGACAGGCAGGGACACTCAGGGACATACAGAGACATCAGGGACATTTAGGAATGCTCAGGGACAGACAGGAACACACAGGGACACTTAGGGACACTCAGAGACATACAGGGACATTCAGAGACACACAGGGACACTCAGTGACACTCTGAGCCACCCGGGGCCAGCTGCTGCTGGTGTCCCCTGGCCGTACCTTGAAGACCTCCTTGACAGCGTGCATCAGCTCCGGGCCCACGCCGTCCCCCGGCAGCATTGTCACCTGGAATGTCCCCTCAGCCCTGTGGGACTGCACAGACATGGGGGGGTCACCCCAAACCAGCCCCAAACGGGGCCACAGGGACCTGGGGGACCCGGGCCACGTCACAACCACAGGGACACGGAGTGCTCGGGTTGGGCAAGGCCTGCAGTGCCAAGGCCACCGCTGAGCACTGTCCCCAAGTGCCACATCCAGGGGGCTGGGAAACCCCCAGGGTGTCCCCAAGTGCCACATCCAGGGGGCTGGGAAACCCCCCAGGGTGTCCCCAAGTGCCACATCCAGGGGGCTGGGAAACCCCCCAGGGATGGGGACTCCACAGCTGAGCTGGGTAACTTTCCCAGGAGGAAAATCCCCAAAATGTCCCCCCAGGGGACCCTTGGGGACACTCAGCCCTCTCCTGGCACAGCCGTGTCCCTTTGTCCCTGTCCCCTGACCCCCCTTTCCTGCAGGCTGAGCCCCCTCCAGCCCCTGTGAGCCCTGTCCCCAGGGCCCAGAGGCAGCCCAGGACGGGGCTGTCCCTGTCCCTGTCCCCCCAGGGTGACACCAGCCCTGAGCACAGCCGACACCACGGGGACACCTTGTCCTGCCCAGCGCCTCCAGAAATAACCTGTGCCTGTGCCCCAGCTCCCAGCACAGCCCGTGCTCCTAAATCCCCTCACTCCTCCCTGCCCTCAGCATCCCGTGGCATTCTGGACAGCCATTTTAGCAGGAATTTCCCCAATATCCACCCAAATCTCTCCAGGGATGGAGACTCCCTCCTTTTTCCAAGAGGAATTTCCTCAGTATCCAATTTTCCCCAGGCTGTCCCTGTCCCTGTCCCCCCAGGGTGACACCAGCCCTGAGCACAGCCGACACCACGGGGACACCTTGTCCTGCCCAGCGCCTCCAGAAATAACCTGTGCCGTGCCCCAGCTCCCAGCACAGCCCGTGCTCCTCAATCCCCTCACTCCTGCTCCCTGCCCCCAGGATCCCCTGGAATGTTGGACAATCATTTTTAGCAGGAATTCCCCAATATCCCACCCAAATCTCTCCAGGGATGGAGATTCCCACATGTCTTTCCAGGAGGAATTTCTCCAATTTCCCAGCACAGCACAACTTCCCATGTTCCTAAATCCCCTCATTCCTTCTCCCTGCCTCAAGGAACTCCTGGAATTTTGAACAGCCATTTTAGCAGGAATTCCCCAATATCCCACCCAAATCTCTCCAGGGATGGAGATTCCCACATGTCTTTCCAGGAGGAATTTCTCCAATTTCCCAGCACAGCACAACTTCCCATGTTCCTAAATCCCCTCATTCCTTCTCCCTGCCCTCAGGGTCCCATGGGATTCTGGACAGCCATTTTTAGCAGGAATTTCCCTAATAATCCACCCAAATCCAGGGATGAGGACTCCCCATTTCTCTTTCCAGGAGGAATTTCCCCACTATCCAACCCCATATCCCAGCACAGCCTGGTGTTCCTAAATCCCCTCACTCCTGCTCCCTGCCCTCAGGAACTCTTGGAATTTTGGACAATCATTTTTAGCAGGAATTTTCCCAAGATCCCACCCAAATCTCTCCAGGGATGGGGACTCTACCCTACTTTTTCCAGGAGGAATTTCCCCAATTTCCCAGCACAGCCTGCTGCTCCTAAATCACTTCATTCTTTCTCCCTGCTCTCAGGAATTTTGGACAATCATTTTTAGCAGGAATTTCCCTAATAATCCACCCAAATCCAGGGATGAGGACTCCCCATTTCTCTTTCCAGGAGGAATTTCCCCAATTTCCCAGCACAGCCTGCTGCTCCTAAATCACTTCATTCTTTCTCCCTGCTCTCAGGAATTTTGGACAATCATATTTAGCAGGAATTTCCCTAATAACCCACCCAAATCCAGGGATGAGTACCCCCCATTTCTCTTTCCAGGAGGAATTTCCTCAATTTCCCAGCACAGCCCGGTGTTCCTAAACCCCCTCACTCCTTCTCCCTGCCCTCAGGATCCCCTGGAATTTTGCCAAGCCCCATTTTCGTGGCCCAGACCACAGGAGAATGTCCCTGGGCTGTCCCTGCCCTCCCAGCCCAGCCCAGGGGATCCCCTGGCAGCAGTGCCAGGAGCAGGGAAACTCCACACCCGGTGGGAAGGGGGAAGGGAGGAGGGAAGGAAAGCTGAGAGTGACAAACGGGGAGCTTTAAATAAGCTGGAATCAAATGGCCAGGGCAGAAAAGTGAAATGCCAGAGGCAGGGCTGAGGGAAGGGCAGCGCCTCAAGGTCACCCTCGGGGCTCAGCCCTTCCCTCAGCCACATCTCCCATGGAATTGGGGAATTCCCTGGCTGGGAAAAGCCCCAGGGACCCCCCAGCACCGCCAGGGCCACAGCCCCGGGGGTGTCAAACTGAGGGGTGTCAAACCCAGGGGTGTCAAACTGAGGGGTGTCAAACCCAGGGGTGTCAAACTGAGGGGTGTCAAACCCACGGAGCCCTCAGACCCCTCACGGAGCCCCCCAGCCCTCAGTGACCCCTCACAGAACGATGAGGTCAGACCCCGTCTGACCCCCCCGCCGCTGCCCGCCGCCCCTAGCCCGACTCCCCCCGCTGCAGAGCGATGTCCCCGCTCGCTGCGTGCCCCCAGCCCGCTGTGCCCTCCCCGCCCGTGTCCCGTGTCCCGCTCACCGCCGCCGCCGCCCGGCCCGCGCCCAGCGCCGCCATCTCTGCGCGCCCACAATGCCCCGCGGCGCGGGAGCGCGTGACCAAAGGGGCGGGGCCTCGCTGGGCCGGCGGCGCCCCCTGCCGGACGAGCCAGAGAGCGCGGGGACGGGACCCCCCAAAATGTGCCCTGGGACCCCCCAGTGACCCCAAAATGTACCCATGGGACCCCCCAAAATGTGCCCTGGGACCCCCAGTGACCCCAAAATGTACCCATGGGACCCCCCAAAATGTGCCCTGGGACCCCCCAGTGACCCCAAAATGTACCCCTGGGACCCCCCACAATGTGCCCTGGGACCCCCCAGTGACCCCAAAATGTACCCCTGGGACCCCCCAAAATGTGCCCTGGGACCCCCCAGTGACCCCAAAATGTACCCCTGGGACCCCCCAAAATGTGCCCTGGGACCCCCCAGTGACCCCAAAATGTAACCCTGGGACCCTGCAGTGTCCCCACAATGTCCCCAGGGACCCCCCAGTGTCCCACTGGGACCCCCCCAATGTCCCCTCAGGGACTCCCCAATGTCCCCCCAGTGCCCCTCACAATGCGGGGAGCTTTAAATAAGCTGGAATCAAATGGCCAGGGCAGAAAAGTGAAATGCCAGAGGCAGGGCTGAGGGAAGGGCAGCGCCTCAAGGTCACCCTCGGGGCTCAGCCCTTCCCTCAGCCACATCTCCCATGGAATCAGGGAATTCCCTGGCTGGGAAAAGCCCCAGGGACCCCCCAGCACCGCCAGGGCCACAGCCCAGGAATTTCTCCAATTTCCCAGCACAGCACAACTTCCCATGTTCCTAAATCCCCTCATTCCTTCTCCCTGCCTCAAGGAACTCCTGGAATTTTGAACAGCCATTTTAGCAGGAATTCCCCAATATCCCACCCAAATCTCTCCAGGGATGGAGATTCCCACATGTCTTTCCAGGAGGAATTTCTCCAATTTCCCAGCACAGCACAACTTCCCATGTTCCTAAATCCCCTCATTCCTTCTCCCTGCCCTCAGGGTCCCATGGGATTCTGGACAGCCATTTTTAGCAGGAATTTCCCTAATAATCCACCCAAATCCAGGGATGAGGACTCCCCATTTCTCTTTCCAGGAGGAATTTCCCCACTATCCAACCCCATATCCCAGCACAGCCTGGTGTTCCTAAATCCCCTCACTCCTGCTCCCTGCCCTCAGGAACTCTTGGAATTTTGGACAATCATTTTTAGCAGGAATTTTCCCAAGATCCCACCCAAATCTCTCCAGGGATGGGGACTCTACCCTACTTTTTCCAGGAGGAATTTCCCCAATTTCCCAGCACAGCCTGCTGCTCCTAAATCACTTCATTCTTTCTCCCTGCTCTCAGGAATTTTGGACAATCATTTTTAGCAGGAATTTCCCTAATAATCCACCCAAATCCAGGGATGAGGACTCCCCATTTCTCTTTCCAGGAGGAATTTCCTCAATTTCCCAGCACAGCCTGGTGTTCCTAAACCCCCTCACTCCCTCTCCCTGCCCTCAGGATCCCCTGGAATTTTGCCAAGCCCCATTTTCGTGGCCCAGACCACAGGAGAATGTCCCTGGGCTGTCCCTGCCCTCCCAGCCCAGCCCAGGGGATCCCCTGGCAGCAGTGCCAGGAGCAGGGAAACTCCACACCCGGTGGGAAGGGGGAAGGGAGGAGGGAAGGAAAGCTGAGAGTGACAAACGGGGAGCTTTAAATAAGCTGGAATCAAATGGCCAGGGCAGAAAAGTGAAATGCCAGAGGCAGGGCTGAGGGAAGGGCAGCGCCTCAAGGTCACCCTCGGGGCTCAGCCCTTCCCTCAGCCACATCTCCCATGGAATCAGGGAATTCCCTGGCTGGGAAAAGCCCCAGGGACCCCCCAGCACCGCCAGGGCCACAGCCCCGGGGGTGTCAAACCGAGGGGTGTCAAACCCAGGGGTGTCAAACTGAGGGGTGTCAAACCCAGGGGTGTCAAACTGAGGGGTGTCAAACTGAGGGGTGTCAAACCGAGGGGTGTCAAACCCAGGGGTGTCAAACCCAGGGGTGTCAAACTGAGGGGTGTCAAACCGAGGGGTGTCAAACCAAGGGGTGTCAAACTGAGGGGTGTCACACCGAGGGGTGTCACACCGAGGGGTGTCAAACCGAGGGGTGTCAAACCCAGGGGTGTCAAACCCAGGGGTGTCACACCTCCCCAGTATCCCACCCACCCCTCCCCTTCCCCGCTCTCCCCTCAGGGAGTCTGGGGCCCGTGTCCCGCTCACCGCCGCCGCCGCCCGGCCCGCGCCCAGCGCCGCCATCTCTGCGCGCCCACAATGCCCCGCGGCGCGGGAGCACGTGACCAAAGGGGCGGGGCCTCGCTGGGCCGGCGGCGCCCCCTGCCGGACGAGCCAGAGAGCGCGGGGACGGGACCCCCCAAAATGTGCCCTGGGACCCCCCAGTGACCCCAAAATGTACCCATGGGACCCCCCAAAATGTGCCCTGGGACCCCCAGTGACCCCAAAATGTACCCCTGGCGAGGGGTGTCAAACCCAGGGGTGTCACACCTCCCCAGTATCCCACCCACCCCTCCCCTTCCCCGCTCTCCCCTCAGGGAGTCTGGGGGGTCGGAAGCTCCCCCCGAGCCTCCTGTGCCCCGCAGTGCGCTCACCTTGGCCTGGGCTTGCTGCAGCAGGGCGGCCGAGGTGCCCAGCCCCCGCCATGCCCCGAGGCTCTGGGCGCGCAGGAGCCCCTGCGGGAGCCGCGGGTCAGAGAGCCCCTCAGGGGGTGCCCCCCGCGCCCCAAACCCTGCCCGGCCCGAAAACGGCACCCCAAAGTGACAGCCCCGCAAGCCAGCCTGAACCCCCCCAAAAGGAACCCAGCCGGCCTTCAGCTCCCGCTCTGCCCCAGACCGACCGGCCAGCCCCCCCACTGGGACCCCCCAAAATGTGCCCTGGGACCCCCCAGTGACCCCAAAATGTACCCCTGGGACCCCCCAAAATGTGCCCTGGGACCCCCCAGTGTCCACACAATGTAACCCCGGGACCGCCCAGTGTCCCCAAAATGTCCCCTGGGACCCCCCCACAATGTCCCCCTGGGTGCCCCCAGTGTCCCCACAATGTCTCCTGGGACCCCTCAAACGTCCCCACAATGTACCCCAGGAACCCCCCACAATGTCCCCTGGGACCCCCCAGTGTAACCCTGGGACCCCCCCAGTGTCCCCACAGTGTAACCCTGGGACCCCCTCAAAATGTCCCCTGGGACCCCCCAGTGTCCCCCCAATGTCCCAGTGTCCCCTAGGACCCACCAATGTCCCCTGGGACCCCCCAGTGACCCCACAATGTAACCCTGGGACCCGCCAAAAATGTCCCCTGGGACCCCCCAGTGACCCCAAAATATCCCTTGGGACCCCCCAGTGTAACCCTGGGACCCCCCAGTGTCCCCACAGTGTCCCCCCAATGTCCCCTGGGACCCCCCCAGAGTTCCCACAATGTCCCCCCAGTGTCCCCTGGGACCCTCTAATGTCCTCTGGGACCCTGACCCCCCCAATGTCCCCCCACAACGTTCCCCCCAATGTCCTCCCAAGGACACCCTCCAGTGTCCTCCCTGGGACACTCCCAATGTCCCCCCAGAGTTCCCCACACCCTGCCCCCAGTGTCCCCCAGCTGACCCTTGGGGACAGCCGGTGCCCTCCCCCCCGACCCCGGCCCCGCTCCTGACCCCCGCGGTGTCCCCAGCTGTCCCCCCCGCCGTCCCGGTGCCCCTAAGGTGACACAGGACACGGAGCTCGGCTCTTTATTGCACACGCAGGGAGGGGACAGCCCTGTCCCCAGCGCTGCCACCTCTGCCACCACCCAGCAGGGACAGGGCCGGGAGCAGCTCCCAGAGCACAGCGACACCCGGGGGGGCTGGGGGGTCCTGGGGTGTCCCCAGAGTGTCCCTGGGGCTGTCCTGGGGGTGACACCGGGGGTGACACAGGGGGTGTCCATGGGGTATCCCTGGGGTGTCCCCAGAGTGTCCCTGGGGGTGACATTGGGGATGTCCCTGGGTGTCCCCAGAGTGTCCCTGGGGGTGTCCTGGGGGTGACACCGGGGGTGTCCATGGGGATGTCCCTGGCAGTGTCCCTGTGGTGTCCTAGGGGTGTCCCTGGGGGTGTCCCCACGGTGTCCCTAGGGTGTCCATGGGGCTGTGCCTGGGGGTGACACTGGGGGTGTCCATCAGGTGTCCCTGGGAGTGTCCCTGTGGTGTCCATGGGGTGTCCTGGTGGTGTCCTGGGGATGTCCCTGCAGTGTCCCTGTGGTGTCCTAGGGGTGTCCCTGGGGGTGTCCCCACGGTGTCCCTAGGGTGTCCATGGGGCTGTGCCTGGGGGTGACACTGGGGGTGTCCATCAGGTGTCCCTGGGAGTGTCCCTGGGTGTCCATGGGGTGTCCCTGGGCTGTCCCTGGTGGTGTCCCTGCAGTGTCCCTGGCAGTGTCCCTGTGGTGTCCTGGTCGTGTCCTGGGGATGTCCCTGGGGGTGTCCCTGTGGTGTCCCTGTGGTGTCCATGGGGTGTCCCTGCGGTGTCCTGGAAATGTCCCTGGGCTGTCCCTGGTGGTGTCCCTGCAGTGTCCCTGGCAGTGTCCCTGTGGTGTCCTGGTCGTGTCCTGGGGATGTCCCTGGGGGTGTCCCCAGAGTGTCCTTGGGGGTGTCCCTGCAGTGTCCATGGGGTGTCTTGGGGTGTCCTGGTGGTATCCCTGTGGTGTCCTGGGGATGTCCCTGTGGTGTCCCTGGAGTGTCCCTGCGGTGTCCTGGAAATGTCCCTGGGCTGTCCCTGGTGGTGTCCCTGCAGTGTCCCTGGCAGTGTCCCCGTGGTGTCCCTGCGGTGTCCCTGGCAGTGTCCCTGTGGTGTCCCTGCGGTGTCCCAGTGTCCCGGGCTGTGCCGGTGTCACTTTTTGAGGAGCTGTGCCCGTGCCCGGCCCAGCCGCTCGGCCAGGGCGCCGTCGGTGCCGGGGCAGCACCGGGCCAGCACCAGGCTCATCTCGGCCTCGCTGCGCCGCTCCATGGCCGCCTCGGCCGCCTGCTCCAGGTCCCTGGAGCCGCGAGGGGACAGCGTCAGGGGACAGCACGGGGACACGGGCCACCCCACTCCTCATCGCTGTCCCACCGGCTCCCAAAGCCCCACACGGTGTCACCCCCAAGTCCCCGCTGCTGCCACACAGGGAGTCCCACTGTGGGTTTCCACATCCCGGTGTCCCCATGAAGGCCCCTGGATGTCCCCTGATGGTCCCCAGGACGACGTCCCCATGATGGTCCCCAGGATGTCCCCACGAGGGTCCCTGTGATGTCCCCATGAGGGTCCCCAGGATGTCCCCACGAGGGTCCCCGTGATGTCCCCACGAGGGTTCCCTGGATGTCCCCTGATGGTCCCCAGGACGTCCCCATGAGGGTCCCTAGGATGTCCCCATGAGGGTCCCCAGGATGTCCCCACGAGGGTTCCCTGGATGTCCCCTGATGGTCCCCAGGACATCCCCATGAGGGTCCCTAGGATGTCCCTGCAAGGGTCCCCTGGATGTCCCTCTGAGTGTCCCCTGGATGTCCCTGCAAGGGTCCCTTGGATGTCCCTCTGAGTGTCCCCTGGATGTCCCTGCAAGAGTCCCTTGGATGTCCCTCTGAGTGTCCCCAGGATGGCCCCACAAGGATCCCCTGGACCTCCCCCTGAGCGTCCCAAGGATGTCCCCCCCGAGGGTCCCTGGCATGTCTCCTCAAGGGTCCCCTGGATGTCCTCTGGGGGTCCCCAAGATGTCCCCCCAAGGCTTCCATGGATGTCCCCCCAAGGGTTCCATGGATGTCCCCCCAAGGATCCCCTGGATGTCCCACCCTGAGGGTCCCCAGGATGTCCCCTGAGTGTCTTTGGGATGTTCTCCTGAGGGTTCCCTGGACATCCCCCCAAGGGTCCCCTGGATGTCTCCTGATGGTCCCCAGGACGTCCCCATGAGTGTCCCCTGGATGTCCCTGCAAAGGTCCCCTGGATGTCCCTCTGAGTGTCCCCAGGATGGCCCCACAAGGATCCCCTGGACCTCCCCCTGAGTGTCCCAAGGATGTCACCCCCGAGGGTCCCTGGCATGTCTCCTCAAGGGTCCCATGGATGTCCCCTGGGGGTCCCTGTGATGTCCCCACGAGGGTCCCCTGGATGTCCCCTGGGGGTCCCTGTGATGTCCCCACGAGGGTCCCCTGGATGTCCCCATGAGGGTCCCTGTGATGTCCCCATGAGGGTTCCCTGGATGTCCCTCCCAAGGGTCCCCAGGATGTCCCCTGAGGGTGCCTGGGATGTCTCCTTGAGGGTCTCCTGGATGTCTCCTGATGGTCCCCAGGATGGCCCCAAGAGGATCCCCCGCATGTCTCCTCAAGGGTCCCCAGGATGTCCCCTGGGGGTCCCCAGGATGTCCTCCCTGAGTATCCCTGGGATGTCCACCTGAGGGTCCCCTGGATGTCCCCATGAGGCTCCCCTGGCTGTCCCCTGAGTGTCCCTGGCTGTCCCCTCCTGTGTGTCCCTGGCTGTCCCCTCCTGAGTGTCCCCGGCTGTCCCCTGCGTGTCCCTGGCTGTCCCTCCTGCGTGTCCCTGGCTGTCCCCTCCTGAGTGTCCCTGGCTGTCCCCTCCTGAGTGTCCCTGTGTGTCCCCTGCGTGTCCCTGGCTGTCCCCTCCTGCGTGTCCCTGGCTGTCCCCTGCGTGTCCCTGGCTGTCCCCACGCACCCCACGAGGACGAAGGCCTTGACGCGCTGCTCGGGCGGCACGCGGGGCGCGTATTTCTTGGCCTCGTAGCGGTTGTGGTGCTTCACCGCCACCTCCACGAAGGGCTGGGGAGGAGGAGGAGGGAGGTGAGGAAGGGCAGGGAGAGGGGAGGAAGGGCAGGGGAGGTGAGGAAGAGCGGGGAGAGGTGGGGAGAGGAGGATGGAGGGGCTGGAGAGGGGAGGAAGAGCATGGGAGGGTCAGAGAGGGGAGAAAGGGGACGGGAGGGTGGGAGAGGAAAGTGTGGAAGAGTTGGAATGGGGAGGAAGAGGATGGGAGGGTTTGAAAGGGGAAGAAAAGGGTGGGAAGGGAAGGGATGGGAAGGGAAGGGAAGGGAAGGGAAGGGAAGGGAGAAGGGAAGGGAAGGGAAGGGAAGGGAAGGGAAGGGAAGGGAAGGGAAGGGAGGAAGATGCTGGGAGCACACGAGGGGTGACTGAGGCAGCCCAAGCTCTCACCAGGTACCCAATGGGTGACTTCTTGCTCTTGGAGAACTTCTCCATCTCCTCCCAGTCCCCGCGGGTGGCCAGGGCGTTGATCTTCAGCCACCAGTACCTGGGCACAGGGGCAGGGGGCTCAGGGCTGTCCCTGGAGCCCCCCCGGCCCCCCCAGGGCCCATGCCCACCTCTTGTCAGGGATCCTGAAGTCCCGGTAGAGCTGCTCGGCGCGCTTGTGGTGCCCGTCCAGGATGAGGGTGGCCACGGTGTCGTGCAGGGACAGGTCCAGGTAGGGCTTGTCCAGCTCCTCCTGCAGGTGCCGCTGCAGCCGCAGCAGCTTGATCTGCTCCTCCGTGGCCTGGGACACGGGGACAGCTGTGGGGTCCCTGGCCCAGCCTCCATGTCCCCTGTCCCAGCCTTGTGGTGGCTGTCCCAGCCCTGAGGTCCCTGTCCCAGCCTCAGTGTCCCCCAGCCCAGCCTCAAGGTCCCTGTCCCAGCACTGAGGTCCCTGTCCCAGCCCCAGTGTCCCCTGTCCCAGCTCTGGGGTTCCTGTCCCAACCCTGAGGTCCCTGTCACAGTTCCAGGGTCTCCATCCCAGCTTTGGGGTCTGTGTACAAGCCCTGAGGTCTCTGATCCCGCCTCAATGTCCCCAGCCCAGCCTCAGGGTCCCTGTCCCAGGCTCGATGTCCCTGTCCCAGCTTCAATGTCCCCAGCCCAGCCTCAATGTCCCCTGTCCCAGCCCTGAGGTCCCTGTCCCAACCTTGGGGTCCCTGTCACAGTTCCAGGGTCTCCATCCCAGCTTTGGGGTCTCTGTACAAGCCCCAGGATCCCCAATCCAGCCTTGGTGTCCCCAGCCCAGCCTCAGTGTCCCTGTCCCAGTCCCAGAGTTCCTGGCCCAGCCTTGGTGTCCCTGGTCCAGCCCTGGAGTCTCTGTCCCAGCCTCAATGTCCCCAGCCTGGCCCCAGGGTCCCCATCCCAAGCTGAGGTCCCTTTCTCAGCCCTATCCCAGTCTTGGGGTCCCTTTTCCAGCCTTGGAGTGGCTGTCCCAGCCCACAGTCCCCATCCCAACCCTGAGGTCCCCAATCAAGCCTTGGTGTCCCTGTCCCAGCCTCAATGTCCCCAGCCCAGCCCCAGGGTCCTGTCACAGTTCCAGGGTCTCCATCCCAGCTTTGGGGTCCCTGTCCCAGCCCTGAGGTCCCTGATCCACCCTTGGTGCTCCTGTCCCAGCCTTGCTGTCCCTGTCTCAGCCACAATGTCCCCAGCCCAGCCTCAGGGTTCCTGTCCCAGCCCTGATGTCCCTGATCCAGCCTCGATGTCCCCAGCCCCAGGGTCCCCACCCCTACCTGAGGTCCCTTTCCCAGCCCCGTCCCATTCTTGGGGTCCCTGTCCCAGCCCCAGGGTCCCCACCCCTACCTGAGGTCCCTTTCCCAGCCCCGTCCCATTCTTGGGGTCCCTGTCCCAGCCCCAGGGTCTCCATCCCAGCTGTGTCCCAGCCCTGTCCCACCCCTGATGTCCCTGTCCCACCCCACTGTCCCCATTCCAGCCATGCCCCTGGCCAGCCATGCCCTCCCCAGGGCAGGCAAGGTGAGTTTGTCCCTGGTGTCCCCCTGTCCCCGGTGGCACCTGGGCACTGTCACCTTGGCAGCAAAGTCGTTCTTGGCCTTGTAGAACTCGTCCAGGGCGTTCTGCAGGGCGGCCACGCGGCCCTCGATCCGCTGGGGGTGGCACGGGCATGGGGACATGGCATGGACACAGGGACATGGCACGGACATGGCACAGACATGGCACG